GAGTAGGTAGCATCGTCGTTGGAGTTTTTCGGGTCAATTCGATTAAGGGACGTGTGGTCACTAAAGCAATGTTAGGACGCCTTAGCGGTAACCCTAATGTCTTAGATCATTTTATCCGAGGCAACCGTTTCGAGGAAACTTATGATCTTTGGACAAGAGGGCGACCTCTAAAACTTCCTATACTTAATGACCACGTTCGAGGCAATCAAGTGAGGTGTACCCTAAGAGTGCGCATGTGCGAGTGTATTGTTTTTTCAGTTATTTATCTTTGTACATGTTATGGTGAGCTACTGTTGATTTTAAGTTCAAAGTTGATCTTGTCATGCATTGCCTATTATTCAAACATCTAACAGTTAATGGTTGCGGAAATTAAATTGCGGAAAAATAAATCTAAGCTATTACAAGGCGTCGGGTATTTACATCGCCAAAAACAAACCCTTAAAAAAATTAAATTGCGGAAAGTAAATAAAGCGATAAATAAAATCCTGATTAAAACTATTACTTCTTTGAAGCAGTTACAATATGGAAATATGGATCAAAAATAATTCGCGCGCGAGAAAGTTAAATTGAAGTGTTTTTAGGGTTTTGACCCTTTTATTGAATAAAAGCATATTTTTTTTGTTATTTTTTGAATTAAAAATTAGTCTAAATTAATAATTGAATTAATTAATTAAATGAAAATATTTTTGAGTTTTTATTTTAATTAAGGAAATAAAATAAGAGTGATTAAAAAAGTTAATAAAAGTTCTAATTCTAAATTGATTTTAATTTAATGCAAAAGATATTAAAATTGTACCTAATTAAACTAAATTAATTAATTAATTGTTATTTACAAAATAAATAAATAAATTAGTGGAATTAATAAAATATTATTTTGGTGGTTTCTGATTTTTTTATAAAAAATGTTAATTGGTTAATTAATTAATTAAGATAATAATAATAAAATAAAAATAGAAAAATAATGAAAAGCAAAAAAGAAGAGCAAACTCAGGGGAGGTGTGGGCCTGATCTGAGTGTAAATCAGCAATTTTTGGGGCCCAAACGTCCAGCCTGTTAGACTTTTCCATTCCAATATGCGCTGGTTGACTTTAGTCCATGGTGCTCCTTCAATCTTGATCATTGGATCTGTCTGGTGGGCCACTTGGCTATTGAGATCTAGAGGCATTTGGTGAACCACGCTGGGAGCATTGCACATGAATACCTGAAGAACAAAATCAAATAAATGTTTGGGGGACCTGGGATTCGAACCCAGGTCCTAATGCTCATTGCCTGCGCGCTTAACCACTCCACCAAACTGCTTCATTTGTTATTGTAATAAGAAACAAATATTATATACAAAGCCATCAATTATTCCCTGCAAAAATTAAAAACGCGCTAATAATTCAAATGAGCCAATAGACGCTAGCCACGTTATCGTCTTCCTCAACGCGTCCCTGGTTATTTACCTGCGGATTTTCATCCGCAGGAAGTTTCGTAGGATGTCTCAAAAATCCTTTCCAGGCCATGTAAATGAAATGCAAGAGTACCAACGTACTCGTCTCTTCCTCCTGGTCATCCTTATACCTATCATTAGCCTTAATTTTACCTGCATTAAAAACGCCTAAAAACAAGAACAACAACCCTGGGTTCTGGATACGGGGTTAGAAGCCATACAAATAAAATCAAATATTGCAGAATCAATGGAAATTGGATGGTAAGTATGAATGTGCAAGAAAATTGGCAAGAGGATGCAAGAAAATGATTTTACGATATCATGTCCAGAGCAATGTTCGTGGAGACTTACAGTGAGTTCTAGGCAATGAAAAGGCTTGGTTTCGATTGGTATAGCTCCACTGGATGTCAAGGAAGAGAGTAGCGTTGAGCTTTTTGTCTGAATTGGCCTCCAACGTTGTTTTCGATCTCACACTTTTCAAGCTTTTTTACAAACTTGGTATGGCCGTTTCTGCATAGCTTTGTGCGTGTTCTCGGTTTGGCTAGCTTGTGTGCATATAATAGAATGATTTTAGGTCAAAATATGGGCCATGATCCTTATGCATTGAAGAGGGAATATTGGATTTGATCACCATTGATAAGCTTTCCAAAAATAGGCCAAATCTGATTTTTTTTGTGTGCTTGTTTTGACTTGATACGAATTGATTGAGTGTCACATGGTATTTTCAAATTGTACAAATCACAAGAATCCCTTTACATAATTTTTTTAGATTTTATTTGATTTAATATTGATTAATAATGAATTAAATCAATAAAAATGAAATAAAATAGAAAAAATAAATGTTTGGTCATGAAATTAAAGATGGGACACGTGTGTGGCATGAAAAGAACAAATCAAGTGGAAACAAGTGGGCCCTTTTGTCAAAAATTGAAGTTTTGAGGATAGTTGACTTTTGGCAATTTTGGAAAAATGCCCAACTTCAACAATGCATAACTTCTTCAATTTTGAACTTTTGGAGGTGTTCTTGGACCTTTTATAAACATTGAGATGTCCTCTAATCAACCCTTTTGGTCTCATCTCATCTTGATGTTCCATACTCAAGTTATAAGCTTTGGCAAAAAAGGTGTTTTTGTTGACTTTCAAAAATGACCTATAATGTCCAAATTTGTAACCTTTTGTGAGAGCATTTCTTGATCTTGGGGTGTGAAGATGGATTGTAGGTAATTTCATCCTATTCAAAATGATATTTGGATGGGTCATTTCTCATAAAGTATGAGAAAGTTATGCTTGGTCAAAGTTGAGTTGACTTTTCCTGCAAAACCCTAATTTAGCAACTTTTGAATCTTGATGAATCTTGAGCAATCCTTGATGAATCATGATCAACCCTTGATCAAATGATGAATTATCCTTCAAAATTAGAATGTTGACAAAAAATATTGAGGTTTGACTGTATTTGGGACACAGTTGACTTTTGCCCTAGCACAGTCGATTTTTGGGCCTCTTGAGCAATTGACTGACCAAACTTTCTCTGCAAGGCTTGAAATTTGACATGGATGAACTTGATAACATATTAAGACATTGGGGAGCATTTGAGGCCATTTGGATGTAAGGACCTTGATGCAACACAAAACCCTAATTTTGAATTGACTGCCTTAGGAGGTGATTTGACTGTCCAACTCTTGAGCCAACTTGAGCAACTTGGAGATTTTTCTTGACATGTCTTGAGAAATATGGGAGGGAAAATTTTGGGGTACAACACCAACTAACCAATCTTTCCCCATAATTTCTAATTTAACCATGTTTCAAACAAAAAAAAATAGATTAAAGAGGAGGCGTCACTTGAAATGGCGTCTCGTATAATTTGTTTACTTTTTCCAATTACCTGCGAATTTTACGTTACCTGCGGATTTACTTGCGGGTTCCCCTGCGCGTGTTTGTGTGTAGGTAAATCCGCAAGAATATCCACAAGAAAATTCGCAGGTAACACCAAACTCACAAACAAATCCGCAGGTAATTGAAAAAAATAAAAAAATAGGAGGCGCACCTCCTCTTTAATCCGTTTTTTTATTTGAAACATTGTTAGATTGGAAATTATAGAAAAAGGTTGGTTAGTTGGGTATTAAAATTAAAAAAAAAATTGAGTTTTCAATTAAAAAAAGAAAAGGAGAACTAAGTTTTGTTTTTGGTAAAATTTTAAGTCATTTTTATTCGTAAAATAAAAAATAATATTGTAAAAAAATATGATAATAATAATTAAGGATAAAAAGTAAAAAAAATGCTACAAACTTATATAATAATAATTGATAATATATAACATAAAATGTTATTTTTTAAAATAATAAATTTAAATGATTACATACATATTTTAATTAATTTGACACTATTTTTTAATTTTTATTTTAAAAAATCTAAAGTTATGGAATTTAAATAATAAAAAATGAGAGAATAGAAAATTTTATTATTCTAAGGGGGTTAATAACCGCCGTAATATAACGATGTAAAGTAGAGAATTTTCACTTTCAAAGTTTATTTGAGGGGGTTTCGGGAAAACTCGCTTAGATAACCGCCGTAATTAAGTGTTTTTTTTTTAGTGTCTTCTGAGAAATTTAAAGAAATAAATTTTGATTTAAATCTTGATAAGTTTGAGAAGAATAGTCTTGTAGTTTGATTAGAAGAGATATCCAGGATCGAAATCGTAACATTGTTGATGTTTTGAACCAAGACCTCTTGTGTACTAAGATAATACTCACGATGATAATGCTTCTAGAATTTTGTCAAGAAAGAAGTCACTCACTCCAATAATCTAAACCTTAGCAATTTCCAATTCTCTGATCAAACAAAGAATCAAATGAGGTGTCTTGAGGTATGAGAAACCTTTGTAACTTGAACGAACAAAGGAAATGAGTATATCAGACCCTCCTTGCACGGATTGATCATTTAACATCTCCTATTGTTTGCAGAAGATCCACTGGAAGACACCTTGATCCCATAACCATAGAACCAGTGATATGAATGCATGTGTATGTTAGAGAAACACAAGTCAATTAGGGTTGAGATGAAAAGGGTAAATTTTGGGGTGCAACAGTAAAGACTTTTGCGTTTCAAATAAGTTTTAATACCTATGTTTGTAAGGTTATTTTTTATTTGGGTATCTATTCAATCCCCCCCCCCCCCCCCGGCTCTAGATACGTTGTCGTAGTCTAACACAAAATAGTCATGGAATATAACTCTCATAATAAGGCAATTTCTCTTTCCACCCTATACTGAAAAGAAATATCTTATGTATTTCCTAAATTTCCCTTGGAAATTGGAAATATATTTCTGGTGCACGCCTTTTTCTGTTCAATGTTGTCTAGAAATCGGAAATGTATTTTCGGTTACTGTGCAGACAAAACCAGAAAGAGTTATATTGGTAGTGGGTCTTTTTTATGCGTTGTTTCGCATTGAATACAAAGACGTATACACCAAAACATACTACAAAAATATATAGAAGAAAGACATATATAAATAGATATCAGTAAATAGTACAAAAGGTGTATGTAGTCAATATAGGGGATAACCCAAAATATTATTCAAATACAATAAAAAACCAAAATACATATACAACAGAAAAGACTATTGGGTATGGCGGACTATGAGTCGACCCATCCCCCTTTTCGGCGTTCCTCTGTTGTCTCTTGTGTTGCAGAGCCCCCCAAGCCTCTGCCATGATGGTATCCAGAATAACTCTAACATCAGAGCCATCAGGAAACAAACTACCATCAATACTCGTCTGCACAATCTCCATGATACGACGACACCTAGGCAACACATCAGTGGCATGATCGGTTTGTGTCTGCTCCTTCTCTAGAATCTCCTGATGAGATGGCCTCGGAGGATTTCCTGGAGCATCTTGTACCAGGTACGGATGGGACACCCTGAAGAACCATATGATATAACAGTCCGCGTAGCTCCAGTCATCTGGAGCAATGGTGCTCTGGGCCTCATCTGGAACAAGATGATTCTCATAATCATCAAACAAAGCATTCATATCCCTGCCTTTCACCAGGGGAGGAGCAGATACAACAGGACCCTGGGGAATGGTCTGTGTGTACCCGAACTGGCACATGACGCGCTCGGGCATATAAGTCGCCATCTTGCGCGCCCCGCAAGCCAACCATCCCGTAAACAACACAACATCATCAAATGGTATCGTGACACGGTGGTCATGGTATAACGGAAGTGTATGTCCTCAAACATCAGTTGATCAATATACACCCGGAACGACTTTGTCTCCTGGTTCTCTCGGAGGGGGTCCTATGCAGTGGCATGCAGCTTAACTTCAATATAATCAATAACTAATGAGCAACCCGAGATGCGGGGGAAGTGCGTCAGGATCCAGTCCTGAAATAACAATAATTATGAATTAGTAATGGAATCTAAATGATTAACAAGATGCCACGAAGACCAAGAAATTTTACCGTCAGGAGTGTGATATTGTCGGTCATCTGCTTCGTCTTCCGCTTACATCCGTTAGAAAGCTTCGTATACAAGTACACCAAACAAGCAGTCCTCCGGTTTCACCTGGTGAATTTGCTCAAAATCATCAAAGTACCCCAGGTACATCACATATGTGTAAGTGGCACTAGTGTCCACAAAAATCGGTGTGCCAACCAGAAACAAAAGGTATGCTCTCATAGCAAACTCCTAGTGTAGGGTAACCTGCTCGGGATCACCATCGGCCTCTCGTGCATGCCTTACCTCAGTCGTGAACACCCTCTTCAAATAACTATATCTGACGTGGGTACCACGGGTAAAATCCAACTCAACCAAGGCACTCTCAGAGGTCACTCCCAATTTCTGTACCAACATATCCAACGCTTCCTCTTTGTTAATCCTTTCATGATCTAAGAATGTTCCTCTAATCGGTAGATGCAGCAGCGACGCGACGTCGTCCAATGTAATCGTCATCTCACCATGTGGTAGATGGAATGATGACGTCTCATGGTGCCACTTCTCAACAAAAGCGTTAACCATACCATGATTAACGACATTATAACTACACTTGGCAAAATCTTTCAAACATGTAAGCATAAAAAGCTCACAAATCCGTAGCTCAATAGGGGGTACTGGTTTACTGATCTTCCGCCCATGATTAATGCCTTCAGAGGATCATGTTCCTGCATTCATGATTGACAGAATTCATTCAACAAAAATCCATAATAAAAATGTAATAGAAGGAACAAGTCAAAATTCATACCTCTCTGCCTCATATATATCTAGCAACGTGGTCTGGGTACAGAGGCAGCAGAGATAAATCCGACGGTCCTCCTCCAAAACTCTGAGGTGCCGCCTAAGATGCTTGAGATGTTTGGGGTACCTGCTCAGGTACCACCTCAGGTGCCTGAGATGTTTGCGGTGCCTGCTCAGGTGCCGTCTCAGGTGCTTGAGATGCCTGGGACGTCCGATGTGCCTCAGATGCTTGGGACGCCTCATGTGCCTGGGATGAAGCATGTGGTTGAGCCTGAGGTGTCGGTTATGTGACCTCTGATGTCGACTGGAAATCATATGCATCTCCCACCTCAAATACCATCGGTGAGGAAATACGTCTACGGGAGGACGGAGGCGGAGAGGGATGAACTAGAGAATTTTGCATGTTGTGGGAGGACGATGTAGCCAGAGTAGAAACAAGAACACCAGAGGCAGAGGTTGTAGTACGCGCATCCGGTTGATTGTGGTTGGATGTCTTTGTTAATTGATGCTAAAAGATTTGTGAAGCGTTCTTTGCAGCTAGTTTGATTTTGTAACAATGGGGGATTGAGAGTGAAATGTTAGTGTTATGACATTTTTGAAACTGATAATGTAAAGGGAGGGGAAGAAGTAGCGCGCCTTATGTCGTGCCACAAGCCGGAAGTATATTTCCAGTTTATATTTTGCCTTGCCAGAGTTTGATTCCCAAAGCCACAATTGTGTGTTTGGGGTGCAACCAAAAATATATTTACGGTTGATACCGTATGTATATTTCCAGTTCCCACCCAACTTTATCATATAATTTATGCCTAACATGGTATGCACCGAAAATATATTTCCGATTTTCAGAAGCATTTTGGAACTTTCACGTGGTGCGTTAGAAAAGCATAGGGTAGAATAAGAAATTGCCCATAATAATATACCTAAACCCTCTATGAGCTATCACAAGCAAGCAATATCCAATGGTATAGATGACCTGTAACTCAACCACAGTGATGGAATAAGAGTCAATAACCATAACCATAAAGAAACCAAACCCAAAACTCGCCCGTCATCGCTCACAACAACACCACAATATGCCTTGGTTCCAAAATCAACCATCAAACCATCACAATTGATTTTAAATAACTTTCCTTAAGCCACTCCAGCCTTGCAATCTTTTGACAGCCCTGCTCAAATTTAAAATCTGGATAACAGTATTAGCATGCATGAACCACCTGTGAGTGGATCAAACACAGCAACTCCGTCGATCTGGCTTCAAGCCTTCAACACTAAGTGCAAGGGCATGTAAAATAAAAGAGTGCAGTGCCAAGAAATTAGAAATCATATACACACTTGTAGTTTTTCGTCATTAACACAGAAAATTGGTATATTGCGAGATTTGGATTGCCTGCAGTAGCACACAATCACGTAGACGGTGAATCTGGACCCTTGATACATCCACTGCAAGAACTCACCCCCCACCACTTCCCGGCCATCTGTAGCAAAATCTTAAAATAAGAGAGACGGCAAAAAGAAACAAAAATTGCACAATCTCTATAGGTATAAGTAAAAGCCGCTGATAAAATTTTTACTGGCAGCATTTAGAACCATGATTATCTCATCAATCTGAGTGGTATCTATAGGTTGGGGAGTGAAGACACGGCAACGCTAAAACCAATCAACATGCTGGGTTGAAAAATTGGTTTTCTTCTTTGGCTTTTGGTATCGGTTATTCTCAAACTTAGCTTTGGTTATAAGTGAATAGAGCAAGTCTGCCTCAGCTGATGTATCATAGGGTACATCCAGTATACTGCCACACATCAACCAAAAGGAAATAAGAAATCAAACAGAATGAACTTCCAAAGACAATATGAGAGAATGAGTAAGGTTGTTACCTGTGAAGTAACTCCTCCAAAAGAATTCTCTGTGACGGGGTTACATAGTGAATGCAACTTCTAGGGCATTGTCCAACAGCACACTGAACTTGGTAATCTTCCCCTTGATCTATGAACAGTCATTGGTATTCATAGATAAATCATTAAAAGAATGATAATTGCGCAATACATGCACTCTTCCATAACAAGCTAAGTTATACTACATTATGTCATTCTTAATCAATGACTTTATCAAAATGAAGAAAGTGAGCAACAGATAAGCAAAATTAACCTTGAGAAAACGCGCGTGCTGTTCCAGTAGAAGGGACAAATGTGAAAGCATGAGATGCTCTTTCAACACATGAATTTGAACAAGCTGCACAAAATTTTAACTCCTCAATGTAATGGAAAAATAAAAGCATAAATTTTTCATCCCAGATGACATTCAGACACTGTATATGTATGTATGTAGGATTCAAACTTCAGATTTAAAGTGTATTAGATGTCTGACATATGTGGTTATATTTAATAAATTCAATTTTCTTAAATTTATAAGCTTCACCTGTCACTGTCAATGTCCTGTTGTGTCCGGTGTCTGTGTGTATGTGTTGGTGATTCATAGATATGTACAATTACCTTTTCCGACACAAAGAAGCTCGTTAACAAAAAGATCAAAAGCTTCACATTCTGGTCTATCAAAGGGATCTAAGCACTCCCTGAAAAGTCAGCAATCATTGTAAGAGAATGAATGCCTACAGTAAACTTCAAAATAATGAGGAGTTGAAAGACACAGATAATTTACGTTTCAATAATTTGCGATGGTGTGTAGTTGGATAGTATCTGCAATAAAAAATATATGGCAGTGAAAAGTTAATTAACTAATTACTAGTTACTAGGCAATATATGTTGTGTGGTAGTGAATAGAAAAAGTAAAACAAAAACAAAAACAATGAGAGTAAGTTAAAGAAGTAAGTAGTACCTGGTATGCTTGAATTACACGGCGAATCATAACATCCGATGTTTCATTTTCATCTCTGTTGACGTCTGGGTGAAACTGCTTCACCTGTAATAAATTAAACAGAAAAAAAGAAACTTGAATTGAATGAATAAAAATGGTGAACAAACTTTGATGATTGATGTTGGTACTTTGGCTCGAAAAGCGGCTTTAATTTCAGCGGCGGAGCAGTTGGGTTGGACTCCCAGGACGGTGTAAGCAGAGAAAGTGGACAGAGGATCATCATCTCTCCCTCTGCAACTGCAGCTTGTTCTTGTCTTATCATTTACAGACACAGACAAAGGAAAAGTGTGGTTTACAAAAGCAGGGGTTGTTGTTGTTGTTGATGTTAATTTGAAGCTACACGACCACCTTGATTCCATACTGGCTGCAATTGTCGTCAGAGTGACCAAACCAACTGTTTCCATAGGAGGGGTGAAGCGAAGCATTTTCTGGATGACAGAGTGCCACTTGTGTTGTTCTCTCTGCTTCAATTATATAGGATTTCTTTTTCCAAAATATAGGAACTTTTTTATATATTGTATAAAAAGACAATTTTGGCCATGAATCCAAGGGTAGTTTGGATAACATAGTACAACAAATTGTAAATAATTTTAACTTTTTTGACTAAATTAATTAATCAATTTCCTTATTCAGAATAGCTTAGTTAAATATAGTGTTCCCAAATACTCTCTTCCTCTATCATAAGTATCCTGCATAGTATTTCATGCAAGTACCAATCCAAACCTGACCAGATTTGAGTTGTGTGTGGATACACTCTACTACATCAATAACAATTGGATCAAGATCGGACTGTCCAAATCCAACATAACCCGCGCAATAAATGCAGTCACTACATCTCTTTATCTTGTTCCAAGTAAAAGAGAATACACTTTTTATCAGGGACATAGCCTTCATCTTTAAGGTGTTTCAGCAAACCAGACAAAACCCAGAATATAACATCACTTTGCGGATGCAATTTATCCGCCACTACAAAACTATTGACTTTCTTTTCGATCTCAATCCAACTTATACCTACTTCTTTCGCTACTCCCATCTCTTTCATTCTCTTAATGGAACTTGCTCTCTCTTTCCATTTCCCTTCAACAGAATATATGTTTGCCATCAAAACATGAGGAGCTGCGCTATCTGGTGCAGCTGAAAATAGTTTATCAGCAGCATATTTACCCATCTCAGAATCACCATGTATGCTACAGGCACCAATCAATGCTTGCCAAACTAGCACGCCACCATGCTCTGGCAATCCCTCGATGAATTTCTTAGCTTCATTAAGATGTCCTGCTCTCCCCAACATGTCGACGATGCAAGCATAATGTTCTGACCTAGGGATTATGTTGTGATCTCTAGTCATAGACTCCAAAAGCTCCATACCCTTCTCAACTAATCCTGCATGACTGCAAGCATGAAGCAATGACAAAAATGTAACATCTGTTGGTGGAGTACCCTCCACTCTCATCTCTTCGTAAAATTGAAGTGCCCTGAAACCATCTCCGTGGCGAGCAAAAGCAGCAATTACCGAGTTCCATGAAATCGAATTCTTTTGAGTCATCTGATGGAACACTCGGAGGGAGTCAGACAAATCTCCACATTTGGAGTACATGTTTACAAGTCCATTACCCACAAAAAGATTCTGACTGAAATTCTTTTTTATGATTAAAGAGTGAATTTGTTTTCCAAGAGCCAAAGAAGTGCCAACACCAAATACCCCAAGAACAGCGGAAACCATGTTAGGGTCGACATCAATCCCCAGCATCACCATTTTCGTAAATATCTGGATAGCTTCCTCTTCAAATCCATTTTGAGCAAAAGCCACAAGTATTACAGTCAAGGAGACACCATCCAGCTCCTCAGCAGACTCAAATATCTTCCATGCTTCCTCTAAACAACCACACTTCGAATACAAATCCATCAAAGCACTTTCAATACACAAATCCGACTGCATCCCCAGTTTCCATAACAACCCATGAATTTTCCGTCCCTCCCTTAATGCTTGCAAACCCGAACAAGCCATGAGCAAGCTCAAATATGTCAAAACATTAGGACTCACAGACCCGCAACACATTTGATCAAACAACCTCAAACTATCTTCATAAAACTCATTTTGGGCAAGGCCAGAAATCACAGCCGTCCAAGTCACAACATTCCTCTCAACCATCTCATCAAAAACCTTCCTTCCTTCGCTAAAACAACCACATTTAAAATACGACGTTATAAGAGCATTTCCAACGGTAATTTCCCTCTCAAAACCACCAACAAACACCAAACCATGGATCATTTGTGTTGCACTAGAGAATCCCAAACCATCACAAGCTGACAACATTGTAGTAAGAGTAGCTTTATCAAATCGACAACACACTTTACTTGACTCACTCATTTGCTTAAAGAAACTAAAAGCAGAGTCAAGATTATTATCATTCCTTAAAAACCCGGAAATAATTGTGTTCCAGGAGACGGTATCTCTAACAGGCATAAGATCAAACACCTTAACAGCACTATACAATTGACCACATTTGGAATACATGGAGAGGAGAGAGTTCCAAACAAAAAGGGCATTACGTTGGGAGGCATGAAAATGGAAGGAAGGGGGTTGTTTGATGATTTGGGCATGGATGGAAGAACCGAGAGTGAGGTTTCGGTCTCTGCCGCAAAGGGAGAGAAGGGAGGTTAAGTGTGCGTGGTTGAGGAGAGGTTTTGAGGTTGCAGGAAATGGGTATTGGGAGGGTGGCGGGTTTGAGATGAAGGGTGGGTTGAGAGAATTCAGCCATGAAGGGAGATTGGTGTTGAATTTCCATCTGGGTTTCATCCATGAAATGAAAAGGTGAACACAAAGAGAGGTTGGTATTGAGCAGACAGGGGAACGTTGTTCTTGTTTTCGGATCTTGTTAGTGTTTTTGTAAGCACAACTAGTATTGTATAAATAACTAACATGTGAATATTCAAGTGCAATATGTTTTCTCTATTTTCTTATTTTTCACCAAGTTGCTTTACACTATATTTGGATATCATAAAACGGAAGAAACAGAGTGGACTAGAGCGAAATGGAGTAGAGTGTGTTGAAATAATATAGTAAGTGTGATTAAGTGGGGAAATAGTCTCATATTAGAAGTGGGAGAATCCACTCACCTATTATCTTAAGTTTTTAGGTGGATAAGTGAGGTGTCTCTCACAAAGGTATTTATTCTTACACTATATATCGATACTCCTAATATCTCCCTCCAATAGAGTGGAGTAGGATGGAGCGAAGCTGAACAAAAATATCATTCTATTGTTTGGAAATTTTAGGACAAAATAAAATAAGTTGTTCACTCCGTTCAAATCAAAGGGGAAAGAATATAGTGATAAGTGATGGAATGGAATGAAATCTATATAACTCAATTCCACTCTGCTCCATCCGTTTTTAAATTATTCAAACAATAGAATACCATTTTATTCCATCTCATTTCGTTCCGCTTCATCTGATTCCATCAATCCAAACATACGAGAGGGTGAAAAAATATCTGAGATTTTTGTTGTACTAAGGTTGTGTCTATCTTATACTTTACTCAAAATGGTGTTGTATTTTGTGCAATGTCTTTAAGAGATATTGTTGTTTGGTTCTTGAGATTATCTAGTTAAAAATTGTATTTGGTTCGTCAGCTCAGCAGGTGAAAAGCTCTTGTTAAGTTTATGAGAATAGACACTTAAATCTTTGTTTGGTTGTAAGAAGATTCATGGGAATAACATGTGAATAACTCATATTTTTAGTGGAACTCTCAAGACAAAATTCTTGGAGACAAGAATAGATCAAGTGATTAGGTTAAATCTGTATAAACATATAGTGTGTGTTCTTTTTATAGGCATTTGATTCCAACAGTCACAACTCATTCCTAAGAGTCATGTCCCTATAGTCATGAAGAGAGAGACGAGGGATTTAAATTTTATTTTGAATTTCAAAATAAAAACTCTATTGACTTAGTTATCCATCAATCAAAATAATCATCACATTAAGGTATCTTTTATTTAAGGTCAGACTTTTAATTACATGAGTCATATTTAATAAATTAATAAAATTAATCCAATAGTCTCTCACTTGACTCATGTGATAACTTTATGTTTCAATATTATACCATAATTATGCACCATTCATTGAAAGCACTAAGTCATTATCTTTAAAGAATTGAAATGACCGAATCGTGGCGGGTCACAATTATTCATCAACTTGATTCCTTCCAAGTATCATGAATCACTCCAATTCAAATAACTTTAAGGGACACAATAATGTGTCTTCATGTCTTTTTAATAAAACACATTTTTCATCACATATTAACAATAATGTATACAATATAATATGGATAACAAAACTAAGCAGAAACATAACCTTAATTAAATTCACAAGTGTCATTCAATACGAACATTAAGTTTTTCATGTATATATACCAATCACACTAATGTTAACAAGAATTTTTACATAATGCCCATCATTTCCACATGGCCAACAAATGTTTTGGACGGTAAACATTTAGTTAACGGATCCACTATCATTAAAATCTTTTACCAATATGTTCAAATGATACTTTTGTTTCTGCACTTCTTCTTTCAATAATAAGTACTTCAATTTCATGTGTTTATCACCCTTTTAATACTCATCATTCTTAGAGAAGAAGATATCTGCAGAATTATCACAATAAATTCTTAGTGGCCTAACTATACTATTGACAACACCAAGCCCTAAGGTATAATTCCGCAACCACAGTGATTGAATTTTAGCCTCAAAGCATGCCACAAATCCAGCCTCTATAGTAGAAGAAGCAAGTATAGACTATTTTTCCATTCTTCCATGATATTCATCCTCCAGTTAGAATGAAACATACTCAAATGTGGATTTCCTTGAGTCCACACATTCCACAAAGTTTAAATCTGAAATAGTCAATCACTTTAAGGTGATTTGACCTTCTATATGTGAGCGTTTAATATTTGGTGTCTTGTAAGTACCTAAGAACCTTATTTGCAGCTTTTCATGGCTTATGTGAACGAGATTGGATCATCATCAATGCTCAAGTGAATAGTCATTTGTTGTCTCATTGTGTTGTATAATGACAACGCAATTATATGGACATCAACATGAAGAGATTCTTTAAGTGAAGAAGATTCTCCACAAGTCACCAGAATTTCCAATTTATGTGATTTCTAACTCCCACTGAACTAGCCATTTTCAATAAAAAAGAGCATTATCAGACTTGATTATTCTCGTACTATGATCAGGACAATAAATATATAGATTATCATACACCTTTACTTTTGCTTGATATTTGGTTTCCTTTCTGTCCACAGTTCATAAGAAGTTTTAGGAACTATCTTTTTAGGAATCATATTAAAGCAAATATATAGCGGTCCTTATGTGTACGTTCACAATGCTAATGATACAATACTATTATTTAACATCGGTCTG